ACAGTGCCTCAAACAGGCAACTTTTCAAATGGCCGTGCTGGATGTGCAAATTCCTGAAAGCTCATTGGAGTTTTTACTTTCAAGACAATATCAGAAAGTAATAGGGCAAGTTTTTTGCATTTTGCATTTTTAAACATTCATTTCAAAGACACTACACAGTAACACAATGGCCAATCCAAACACATTAAGATCAGAATTAAATAAGACTAAATGAGGTAAATAAGTGAAAGTGCTTAGTAACTATTGAATACTACACAGCAGTTTAATTTTTAACTGTTATTTGATTGACAGTTTTGGTTTCATATCTCTTTAGAGGTGACACCCTTTGGCTGCAAGCAAAGAAATTTTTCTCAATGTGTATAAAAGGCTACTCAAGAAGCTCACATCTACTGAAGTAAAAAACAATGTATTGTCCAAGCAAGAAATACCTTTTCAGAGTTGGCTCAAAGAATAATTTTGTCATGATTGTGATTAACAAACTCAGGTTCTCTCGCTCCCTCTTGTTGCTATTACTATTCCCTTGTCTTCGCAGAGAACTCTAGAGTTCACTAAGCAATTTCCTATTTGTGGTTTTATTTGAGCTTCATGATAATATGTTAAGAAAGATGGGCAGGTGCTGTTATCCCCATGTTATAGATGAGAAAATTGACTCTTAGTGAAGCCAAAGGACGAACAAAGATCGTGCAGATACTAATGAGTTGGTAGCAGGTCAGATTCCGTTATCCTGAACTCACAGCTAGTACTCTTTCTAGTAAAAGACTGGTGAACCATGAGGATAAGCTTCATGGAGACAAAGATCATCTGTCTGGTTTCTTCTTTGCTGTACTTCCACAACTTAGCATTTGACGACCCAGAGAATGCACTGTGTAAATGTGAACTGATGCATTGATGATGTTCAGATAATTTTCTTTCTCTAATTCTATAAAATTAAATGTTTTTGAGAGGGAAGAGACATCATCATTAGGGAAGTACTTATCTCCAGGGAAATACTCAACTTATCGAAAAAGGTGCTGGCACTCCAATACATTGTAGTTTTTTTATTCCATCAGATATTTTATCATCAAGCTATTCTCTTGAAAAGGGGCTTTTATACTGCAAAACCCAGGAAAGAAAAAAAGTATATCATCTGTCACTGAAACATCAAATCGAGCCTGAGTTTCAGTTCACATTTGCCACTTTAAAACTTTCCTGAAAATAAATAAATAAATCAACAATTATACGTAAAGATGAGAAACAGCTTAACTTTGAGGAAAAAATAAGCATCTGTTAGGAATTTGGATTCACTGTCTCTTTCTTGACCTATCTGTATCCTATCCCTCCCTCCCGGTCACCTTCTTGCTCTAGCCACAGCTGTTCATCATTTATAAGCTCCTCTGACACGCACGCATTGTCTACACTATATGGTAGGCCAGAACTGAGACTATATGTGGCTGGGATAAGCTAAGCCTATTTTCCGGAAGGGAAAAGAGCAGAAAGTTAGAAGAACCTGCGCCACCGAGAATATGGGGAGGTAGACCCCACAGGGCCATGATTTCTAAGCCTGGGATATAAAGCGAGAGCTTTTTTCTTTTTTTCTTTTCCAGAGAGATCAACTGCTGAGTCTGTTTCTGGGAACTAGAACAGAAAGTATGGGAAAGATATCCTCTCTTTCTTCCAACTTGATCTAACTCATTGTGGAGATGCTGAGATCCCAGACTGGGACTTCCTCATGTTCCTGATGGAGAAATGAAGGCCCTGGAGCCACGAGGCAGCAGTGTGTGGGGAGGGGCAGCACGGATCCCTGAGGATCCCAGAGGTAGATGCTTACCAGGGCTCTAACCTGTACTGGATTTGGGACACGCTGGTGCCTATCACAATAAAACCAGCCATTTGGTAAAGCGAGGCAGAAGGCGAGGGCCTGAACTTAGCTCCTCCAGCCCTCTTGCAGTTGGTTGGGATCCAGGAGCTCATGGTCTTTGGGGACAGTTGTGTAAAGCAACCGATGATGCTAGTTGGAGAGCTTGCTTGGGGCATCACTATAGTCACAGAGCATGGGGCTTGTGGGCTAGGGATGGCATGAGATCTCAGGCAGACTTGGGTGTATGCAACAGGGCATGCAAGCCTTCATGGGGGCTGAGCCAGTGGGTGCCCAGCTGATTTAGATCCAGTCCAGAAAGAACAGGCCAGAACTCACAAACTGTAGGCATCCCCAGCACATGCAGGCAGGCAGAGCCATGACCACAGCACCAGGGACATTTTTGCCTTAAAGGCCAGTGAGGGCCGGGCGTGGTGGCTCATGCCTATAATCCCAGCAGTTTGGGAGACGGAGGCAGGCAGAACACGAGGTCAAGAGCTCGAGACCATCCTGGCCAACATGGTGAAACCCCGTCTCTACTAATAATAGAAAAAGTAGCTGGGCATGGTGGCGCGCACCTGTAGTTCCAGCAAATCAGAAGACTGAGGCAGGAGAATTTCTTGAACCCAGGAGGCAGAGGTTGCAGTGAGCTGAGATCATGCCACTGCACTCCAGTCTGGCAACAGAGCGAGACTCCATCAAAAAAAAAAAAAAAAAAAAAGAAAGAAAGAAAGAAAAAGAAAGAAAAAAGAAAAGAAAAGAAAAAGAAAGGCCAGTGAGGACCCAGAGAAGAACATGCATGAGACTCCCGGTGGTGGCCACAGCAATAGCTGCTATTGTTGGGAGCTGTGGAGGGGTAATGCTTTAATGCTTTAAGACATTGAACCTGTACCTGAAAGGTTATAAAATAAGAGGAGATGGAATCATAAGCCTGAAAGGTATGACTACCTGGTAAATTTGTTTCCTTGCCCTCAGTGGAGTGAGAGCACGCAAGGAAGATGAAATCAATTCTAGAAAAAACACAGAAACCTCACTTGCTTTGCGCATGTGAGTATATTAAATTCATTTGCATCATGTAACATGTGTACTCCTTTCGAATTAGAAAGTGAAATGAAGGATTTTGTTTTAAACCTTGAAAATATTATCCTTAATCCTGTAAGATCTCAGAGGACTATTAACCCACTTTACAGATTGTGCCAATGACTAAAAGAGCATTGGGACTTGATGGTTTGTTTACTTTTCTATGGTTTCCGGAAAAAACATACTTCACACATGGATGGCCTGTGCTGAATGTCTGGGAACTAATCAGCCTACTATATGTGGTTATATTTGTTTGCATAGCTATTATATATGGTAAAAGCAATGAACAATAAGGTGTAGCCCTAGAGCAGAACTGAGACGTTTATCACCAGGGTACAGCTTTTCGACCCTGGTGCTGTTTCCGGAGTGCCCTCTGCAACTGGATGTTACACCCATGTCTGCTTTGTTCTGTCCACTTCTCCTGTTCACTGCTTTACACTCTGGATGGTTAATAAATTAACAAATTCTAATTAGGTTAATTTAGGCACACCAGCTAAAAGAATCATAATTTCCTTCAAAATAATAGAAAATGTTATTGATTTGCAATGCCTTTTAAAAACTCCAGCTTATTAGATGAAACAGTAAATATCTGGTATGTGAGAGGGAGGACCTACATATTAGAGAGATTTTTGATTGATATCGATAAATGCTACTACCATCATCATGGATCAATACTTATGATTTGCAAATGAAAGTCTGTCTATACCAACTTAAGGTAAGTTTTGCACCAGTAAAAACATAGTTAAAACTAATGAATAATTCTGCTTTTACCAATCAAGCCAGTTTGCAGGCTAACTAGCCTGAGTCACTTGGTTAGATCAAGTCACATCATTCAACTGAATTAGCATTCCTATTACAAGTAGAGATATTCCTTCAAATGCCTTTCACCAAAAGGCTGCTTTATTCATATTGGGGTGACCTTTATTTTCCCTTCCTTTCCAGGAGAGAAAGAAATAAAAGAAATACGAGTTGGCTTGTCCATTCTGCCCTGGCGGATTGCTCCCCATTTGCTGTGAGCTGGAGAGCTGCCCTCGCTCCAGCACACCAATGCCTCTGTCACACAGAAGCAAGGCCAGGCAGGGCAGCGTAAGTGAGTCTGGAGATTAGCGAGGGATTTTTAAAAGCACCAGAGAGGTGTTATTAATCCTTTGAAAGTGTGAGCCTTTCTGATATGGCAGCCGGACTCCTGGGAGAAATTGCACAGGCTTCTGTGTACTTGATAAGGAGCACATAAAGTAAAATGCGATGAACTTAATGACCCAGAAATTATTATTAGAGGAAATTAATACCATCTTCAGGAGATTTGTGGCACTTAACATAGCATTTTGAAAGAAGTAAAGATTCTTTTATATCAAGCTGCCTTTCATTTTAAGTATAAACGTGTGCATTTGCATTCTGTAATATGAAGATTAAAGGTCTGGCTTGGAATTAGCAAAGACTAGCGTTGGGACGGGAGCTCACGGGGCAATTGTGGGGTGGGTTTCTGAGATACGTGTGCATTCTTGAGATCTTCTCTGGTTCTCTTCTCACCAACCATTTTATATTGTTGGCTATATTTTTCATTATTTCCAAAGATTTTTTCAGAATTGGATTTTTTTTTTTTTTAAACAGGAAGAAAGTTTTAGTCGATTACTGTTCTACGTGGCTACTGCAACGCAGCACAGTACACACACATCCCTGTCCCTGAAGCCCATTCGTCCCCTCCACTCAATGTCAGTTCATCCGTTGAAAGAGGTGACAAGAAGGGAGGATGTGTAGAAGATATGATTTCCCTTGGCGAGTTTTCCCCTTGTCAATTCTATCCTTTCTGGGCCCTTTGAGTAGCCAGTGTTTTGTTTAATTTAATTTAGGAGAGCTAAATAATTAAACAGGAGGCCAAAGTACATAAGAAAGCGGCAGCCTTTTATTGCAAATATGCACACCCTCTCCGACGAGGTTCTCCGGTCCTCAGGTATGGGGCCAGGGAAGTCGCGCAGGCGCTCTCAGGTGACGTTCTCCGGTCCACAAGTAGGAGGGGCCGAAGAAGTCACCCCCGCGCTTACGGTGGCGGACTTTTATGCCTGGGAGCTGGAAGGGGAGGAGGGGAGGAGTTTGGGGCGTGTGTGTAGGAGTGGCTTCTTGAATTTCGGTGTCCCCGGCTTGACGTCACTTTGCGCATGCTCAGTTGATTTGGTTCGTCCCCAGGCGCGGGAAAATCTGTGATGAAGAACCCGGAAACAACACGGACTGCTCCATCTTGTTCACCTTCCTCCATCTTGTCCCTTCTCCCTCACCCAAACAGCCAGTACCACTTTCATTGGTGCTGAGAAATGGAGCTGAACCCTACTTCCATTTTTTTCTGCTGGAGATGGAGGCCACGGTCCTGCTGTAATTTTCCAGTGAGTGCTCCCCCCTTGTGGCTGGTAAACCCTCCCTGGCAAACAATCCACCTTATGCATGGAAGCATAAAATTTTAGAGCGAGAAATAACCTAAAACATAATTTAGTCGGAGCCCTTCATTGTCTAAAAGAGACTTAACCAAGAGAAATTAAGTGAACTACTCAAAGTCACACAGCTAAAGGCAGAAAAAAGGAGAAACCAGATTTTTCTTATTCCATCAAAATTTATCATTTAAAGAAATTTTTTTTTCTGGGACTCTACCCTTACTCAGTTTCAATTAGCCTTTTCCAACAGGGTGACTGAAATTATTTTAAAACGGTAGAGCTATATAACAATTTTCTGTTGTAGAAAATTATCTTGCATTTCTTTACTTCCAAGAGACAAGATGGTGGTCAGGGGAAGGAGCAGCAATGAGCAACAAGGACAGTCATAGGTCCTGAAACTCTTCACCCAAGAGACTCAAGTGTCTTTTTGCTGTGAAATCCACCACCTAATTCATTTCCTAGAGGCCTTCATTCAGAGGGGAGATTAACAAACCCCAATGACCCTTCATCCTTTTTTTATTCTAGCATAGCTAAGACCTGCAAGTCTGATGAGAGGATATGGGTCTATTTATTATACAAATTAGCTAATTTCTTCTTCATGGAATTTTGTAGATTCTAGGAGTGAACTCACATGGAATAGAACCAAGTTTCTTGCTAAGGGGTCTGAAGAGTGTCTTTGTCAAACAAAATTAAGCCAACATATAATTGTCATTTGCTTTATTCTTATGGAAATTGAACATTAGCATGTGCATAATTGATCTGAAGTCCAGACACATCAAAGACGTTAATCTATGTATGTGTCTATGTGTTTTTAATCTAATTATAAGGAGCTCCATATGTTATTACTCAAAACTTGCTTTTGCTTATTTTATTTTATTTTTTTGATTAAAGGAAATGTCTATTATTCTATGCCCCTGTGTCTGGCTTTTTAAAATCTCTTTCCTTTTTTCCTCAAATGACCAGAGCTGCAGTCGTCGGCCTCTCTAGGGCCCTTGAACTGAACACTTATTCTTTTAAAAATCATCAACACGGGATCTGTTGCCAAGAAGAGAAGCCAATTCTTGTCTCCATGCTCTAGGAAGTGTTTTCTTTGTAGTACTGTTGGCATGGAGGTGAAGAGCCTGGAACTCGATACTGAAATCTCAGCAAGAGAGCTGCCATTGGGTACAGTTTGTTTTGGAATTAAAGCAAATATATCCAGAAATTGTACTCAGGATATTCAAATGTAAGTAATGAAATATTGTAAATGTAACCACGACTATATCTTATGGGAGATCAATAGAGAACTAAGTGTATTTGTTCTATTATCACAAAGTATACATAGATACACTATTATATCAATAATTTTACTGAAGTAGGAAAGACTATTCAGAAATTAGAACAAAAAGTTAACTGTAATTGACCATAAACTATTTTAACTTCATAAAACCCCATATATTATCAGACCTAGTTAGATATTTGGTTCTTATTTCTTCTGATTATTACAGATTAAATAAGAATTCTTATTTTAAAAAGATAATCAGAAAGAGAGATGTATAAAAGAGGGGCTGAAGAGAGTTCTAATTTAACCTGAAGTGTTGTGGGTTCTTTTATGTATTTGGTATGTGTATAGCTCTGTGTTTTATGTATACATGATGTAGAGAAAGTATGTGTTTCTTTTTTTTAATTTTTATTTTTATTTTGAAAGTATATGTTTCTAATGTTACCTGTTAGTGCTCAGAAAAAAGTGTTACAAAATATGGCAAAACGTTCTTGCATGTGTATAATTCTGCAAAAGGTGAACAGATGCTTGTTTTTGTAGATTTTCCCTGCTTTTGCCGCTTTTAGCATCATTCATCTAATCTGCTTTTTGTTTTAATAGATGTTGCTAAAGTTTTCTAAGATAAGTGAATTAGTATTTTCTTTTTCTATATGGATGTTAAAGCTGTCTTTATTTGAAAAGGGAAGATTTATAAAGTTGAGATGTGTTACTGGAATTACAGATGAGATGTTTTAGGTTGTGTGTGCTTGGATGTGTGCAGAATGCTTTTTGCTTTGGCACCTAGGCAGTTGTTGTGTATTCATGTATGTGTGCTTATGTGTGTGCATGCATGTGTGTACATGAATGTGTGAGTGGAAAAAAGAAAGATGTTTCTTTCTGGGACCATATGCCAAGAACGATTTTAATGATAGCTTTTATATGAACATTTTGCATTCTTACAACGAATTTAAAAAATCTGTGTTTGATCCCCAACTGGATCACACTGTATGAAGACTTTTTTAGTAAAGTATTTTTAAAGTTTTAAACCAAAAAAAAGTTTGCTACCAAAAAACAGTCTGTGTAGCCAACTGTCTCTTAAGAAGTCTTATATTACAAACCTAAAACTTCAAAAATAGGACACTTGATTCCCCTACAGCCTGACCCTCCTGTAATCTTCACCATCTCAGGAATGACACCAGTGCATTGTTCATATGTATTTTTAAGTATACGTTTTGTGTATGTGTGTGAAGGGGAGTGATCTGATGCACAGTTACTGAAAGTTTATCATAATGTGGTCACAGTTTTCACTATGAAGTTTCTCTAAAGGAAGGTCTTTGTGTGAAGACAGACTACTAGAAAGTTTTTCATGACTGGTGGTACTGATTTGCATACTTTTGTGTAATCATGAGTACAAAAATATTTATTGATGGCCTACTAAGTTTCAGGCACTCTCCTGAGTACTGGGAATACATCTGACAATTGAACTTAAAACATACTAGCTTTGATGCAACAAAACCAAATGAATGAATTTATACACTCTCACTATAGTCAACCTTATTACTACCTTTCATGTTGAGGACACACCAAAATATTGCAAAATCTCTTTCTATTATTGAGAATGTTTTATTTTGAATAGAATAAACTTAATAAATTTAAAACATTAAATGAGTAGGAAATAATCCAAAGCAATCTGTAAACAAATATAAGCTAGCATGGTTATGCAATATATCTATATGTACATGTGTCAGGAATTCAGAGTAAATGCAAGAAGATGCCAAATTGGGAGTCATTCTTTAAACAAACATATTGAGAGTTGGTTTTCTACACTACATGCATTTGGCATGCCTACCTGTTGGACATAGTCATGACAATTTCTTGTTTCTTTCACTCAATACATGTTTATTGAGTGCCTATGGCGGGCACTAGGCAAGGTGCTGGGAAGAACGGTTGGGTTATACACGTTCTTGCCCTCCGGGACTTCATGCAGTAGTTGTTTGATTTCGTTATAGAACCATTTTATGGGTCATAATCTACTTTTCAGAAGCAGACATTTCCTGTTGCTTGTAGGATGACCACCTCATATGCACGGTCACAGTTACAAGTCATCATCCACCAAGCTCAGGACAACCATCTCATCAGGCTCCATCTAAAAAGAAACTGTGAGAGCCCTTGTCTTGTGAGTTAGCTGCCTCTTCAGCAAGATCTCTGGTCCTGATCCTGAACACTGGCCTCACTGGGAGGTGTTGTGGGTGTTCTGCTCCTCCTACTTCTGAGGCTCCTTTGCCTGGATTCTCAGAAAACCAGGCCTTAGGCAAGATGTGACCCTGAGCTGTGCGGCCTTACAGTAGCAGCCCTTACCTTGCCAGGATTTAATGTCCTCCTGTGTCCAACAAAGAATTTAAGGCATTGTAGGGATTCCTAGGTTCCTTAAAAGGTACTTCCTGTCTTTCAAGGAAGTGAAAGGAAGATGCAACCCTGTGAAGCTAAGACGGTTTCCAGAGCCTGGGAGCCAGGCGTGCGTTCCCACGGCTGCCTTGTGTCACATGCTCATGATGAGGAGAGTGTGATATTTTCACCAAAGCCCTTTCCCACCTCACTGCTAGGCAATGAAACGTTCTTCTTGAGTTCATCACAGCAAGAGCAAGAAGGGATCTTAGCAATTAATCATTCATTCATTATTTGATAGACGAAGAACTTGGAGTCTAAAGGGATTCAGGCAGAATAACTTAGCTTTTGACAACCAATCAGCCTTACTAAATTTAAACAAATAGGCTAGGATTTTTAAAGTGTAAAATAATTTATGGAAATACCTTTAAGAGTATTATTCTCTGCTTTGTTTCTTAGATCAAAAAGTAACACACTTGCTTATTTTTGATATCTCAGGGATATTCTGTTATGAATGGAATGTAGTTGTGAACGGTACTGTCTCTGGAGATAGAGCTGGGTTCACGTTGTGGCTGTATCACTTATTAGTTTCGTGATGTAGGCCACAGTATTTAATGTTTCTGAGCCACAGCGTCCTTGCCTGCAAAATGGGGGGAATAGTGATTGGTATCAATCTCAATGGGAAGTTGTGAGAATTAAGTGATACAATGTGCATGTGAAACAGTAGGATGCCTGACATGTAAGGGGGATTGCTACTGGATGTTTTTCATTGTAATTACTACTATTATAATTTGGATGTCACTTGGAACTTCTCTGCCTCTTGGGGATTTAGTTTGAAGATTTAATTTGACAGCTAGTGGAAGCTGAAGTTTTTCTCATAATTCCTGTTTTATTCCAACCCTACATTCCCTCCTTAAGGTGCGTCTGTTTTTTCTCTTCTATTGATGGATACCATCTTGTTTGGGTTGAATTTACCTTGTACACATTCACAGTGAGCCAAGCCTTTCATAAAAGGGTCCCTTTACTGAAGACATGGAAGTTCACAGAAGAGGGATTGTACCACACTGTGTGGGTCATGACTTTCTTCCTTCCCACTCATATTCTGCTTCTTCCAGGGCCCACATGCCAGCATGTGCCTTAGCCACTCCATGTAGTTCCTGAACGGGTAATTTATTCCCTCTGTCTGACAGTTTTCCTCTTGAAGAGTAGACCCAACCAGCAGGACTCTCTCTTTTGGTCCCCTTGGAATGCTGGTGAGTAAATATTTCCTGTTGTTGTCTTCAGTTCTGTCTTTAGACTGCACTGCACTTCAGTGAACCACATTAAACTACTCAGAACTTAGTGGCTTCCATATTTGCCCCTACTCCAAAGAAACACCCTGCTTCTATTTCAGGAATTTTCTTTGTCCTCTGTTACTATCAGCCAGCTACTTGTTGATGTGAGTGTGCTATCCCTTGGGGTGACCCTTGCTATCTAACATGATACTTTCAGCCTTTGGGGCAGCAAAGGTCGAGGGCATTAGAAATGTGCATAAAGCTCTCTGAATAGGAGCTTCTGCTCCCTCCTTCAGGACAGAATAAATAAACCTTAGTACCTGGGTTTTATGGCAATTCTTTTGTTGGCTGAGTCACAGTTTTTCTTTAATTCTTGTTTTTCTCTATCACTCCAGCTAGCGGAGGTTGACAGATCAATGTGGTGTTAAAGATATGTAACAACATTTGTCTGGCACTATTGGAAAATGAAGTGTTTTCTATAAATAAATTTTCCAGGTAATGGGAGCTCATCATTTTAGATACTGAAACCTTTAAACATTTTAGGAATGTTGGGTGGAGTGCTAAGACATAATATGGCTTAAAATCTAGAAAATAATTGATCCATACAAATAGGAAGGCAGAATAACAGTGGATAAGAATACAGACTGGAGTCGAGCTTGATTCACAGGGTTCTGTCATTTTTCCATCCCAAATTAAGGGCACAGCATTGAGCCCAGTAATACATCTTGTTTCATACGATTGATTTGAAGATGTCATGCCCCTAGATGCAAAGTCTTAGCATAGTGCCAGACACTCTTTACATGCTTATTATCCAGCTATTCCTGGTCTTATTGTTACTATTAACTTTTTGTTGTTGTAGTTGTTGTTGTTTTTGAGGTGAAGTCTCGCTCTGTCATCCAGGCTGGAGTGCAGTGGCATGATCTCGGCTCACTGGAACCTCTGCCTCCCAGGTTCAAGCAATTCTCCTGACTCAGCCTCCTGAGCAGCTGAGATGCTATGCACCACCACACCCTGCTAATTTTGTATGTTTAGTAGAGATGCGATTTCTCCATGTTGGTCTGGTCTTGGACTCCCGATCTCAGGTGATCCGTCTGCCTTGGCCTCCCAAAATACTGAGATTACAGGCAGGAGCCACTGTGCCTGATCCAACATTTTTTATTTTTATAAATCAACAATAGGCAACAACAACAACAACAACAACAACATAAATAACCTACCAGGCAAAGAGTAAAAGTAAGTAATTCGGGAACTAAATAAAACATGGTAATCATTTAAAAGTTTATTCAACTTCACAAATAATCAAATAGTTCAAATTCAAATAAAAAG